CTGGCTGTTACTGTCACTCATGCCAGGGGAGGCACAGGCAGCGAGCAGGGATCCACCGTCAACCTTTTACAGTGAAAAGCACGAGGCAAACTGAAACTAAATTGCTGGTAGCTTTTCCTTTTATTATCACTTCTCTCCTACCACTCCTAAATTTGTGTAAGGCCCCAGTGGCTTTACCTGCCGAATACCTGAGACTGGCTCTGGCTGTTACTGTCACTCATGCCAGGGGAGGCACAGGCAGCAAGCAGGGATCCACCGTCAACTCATTTCTGATTACTGATGGCCGATTCATAATCAGGGTTTGCGAATGCACAGACCAGAATTACTCCCACTTAATATTCCCCCTTAATACTTGCTTAACTATTAAGAAAATGAACATTATGAGAGGAAGAACAAACAGCCCAGAAAAGCAGAATATTACACTCCCAGCAGCCAGCTCTGCTTTGACCACATGCTTTCACGTGCATTTTTGGATGGCACTGCAGGTTTAAGCAATCCCACCTTTTAGCCCAACAGTCTACTGTGCCCCAAAAATCAATCCTTCACTGTGCCAGAACTGTTTCGTGGTGCCACGCTATGAATCACTCTAGGGAATTAACTTGGCTGAAAAAATAAACACTTCTTTTTGCTGTTTTGTTTCTCAGACACATTAGTTCCTGATTAAACCCACAGCAGACCCGAATAAACACTGGAAGGGATAGTGAACGGGCAAGAGTATCTTGCATCAGTAACTGCTGACAAAGACACAGCAACTTCGGCGTCAATAGCATTGGTATTCGGCAAACTTTATTCCCCCCTGCAAACTACCTTGTGTTCTTCACAGAAACAGATGAAAAAGTTAACTGAACAGAAAAAAATAAACCCAGTAAAGAAGACATGGCTGAGTAAATGAGCAATGCTAAAGAACCACACAAGGAGAGATTAACATAGGGGTGGGGAGAGAAAGCAAAAGAGAGAGGACCAGGAAGATGAGAAACGGCTGAACGGAGGAAGAGATCGACCAAACTGAAAGGGGAACGGGAGAAAAGCAAAACAATGACAAAGAAAGAAAAGAATACAGAGTGCTGAGAAAAGCGAAGCATAAGAAAATGAAGACAGACAGAGCATAGAGCGCAGTACCACTCAAAGATCAGACAGAGTATCACACCTTCGTCTTTCTCAGAGTAGAAAGCCAGTAATTCACCAACTCTCGAGCCAAGGCCCTGGCCTTCTGATTTGGGGGATTAAAAGACTGTTGTTCCTCAGAAGATCCAACTCGTTTTGGCAGCCTGAAAGATTTTCCTTTGGCAGCTGTGATCAGCAGTACCTGGACTAATTCGGAATGGCTTCTGTAAAGCAAAGCACTATTCGCATATTCCTCAGTAGAAAGCATACGCAGAAAAGTGTTAAAAACCCCGCAAACTTTACTTATACACACAGATTCAGATTTCCCTTAAATGTATCACAAGTGCCCTTTGCAGATACTGGTTCCTTCCTACGGGTAAGGTTTCATGACAACAAGGTGAATCTGTCAGGCACCTATCGCTGAAAGGGGGCAATCTACCCCAGCCCCACCGCCCCCCCCACGTTGCTGGGTTTTGGCTGGGTTTGTTGTTGTTTGTTTCCTTCCCCTACTACCATTTTCCTACTACCTTCTTTCTTCATGTTTTTCTCCTCTTCTTTCCCTATAGTACTGCCGTACATAGAACAGAAGTATGTCCAAAGCAGCGTCCAGAGAATACGACCCTCTTCTCCCTGGGGATCATATCAGTCCCATCTTTGCAGAAATTTGAGGAAGTAGGATAGATCTTCTACTCTAGAGTTATCATCAATTACCTCCACGAAAACACCACGCAGCATTTATATAGCTCCCAGTAACACTTGCAAACAATCACCTACTATAGACACACCAATTCTGCAACACACAATTGGAAAAAGTGTCATTTGAAAAGAGAAGAAAACTTCAAATTTTGTCCTGTTTGACAGGTGAAAACTGGCTCCTTTCCACAACAGTCAAAAACTAGCATCTTGCTCCTGTCAAAAGTATGACCTACACTCAAGCCTCATTAAAACAAAACAGAGTTACCCTGGTATTTTGCAAGCTTTCAATCTCAGAAATGAACATTTACCTCTATTGTTCTGTTCCTGCAGGCAAGGTTATCTGATTTAGACAATGGCCGAGGGTGCTGTGCAGCCAACAGCGTCTGACATCATTTGTCAAATGGTTCTCTCAGGTAGATGCAACTTAATGAGAAATCTCTGTTTCCTTCCAATTATTAAGCTGCACAAAAGATGCCTCTCAAGATATTTCTCTTCCAGCTGCCAGGCAAGAGCACCACCTGGTGTTCAGCTAATTAAACTTTCAACCTGCTTTTGGATCAGGGTTTTTGTTTGCTTGGGTTTTTAATTATGTTTCTTGTTTGGGGTTTTTTTGTTTGGTTGGGTTTTTGTTTTGTTGTTTGCTTTTTTTTTTTTTAAGCAAACTTACTCTGCACTGGATCTGACTCCATGAAATAGGCACAAAAAACTGCAAAGCTAGCTATGAAAAAATGCTTTACTTCAGTGGGGGAGAGAGAGAAGCAGTAGAACAACTGAAAGAAATTGCTTGGGGTTTATATGTAAGTATTTCCCCCTAAAAAAAAAAGGCAAAAACAATGCGGTGTTATATGACTTCTCAGAATGTAGTCCATCCTGTTAGTCATGGGTAGGCTGTAAACAATTCTTGCATCTTCAGGGACCTTAGAGAAAAAACGACTGCTCCCTCACCCACTGCCAATTACGTACCACCCTTTATGAGCTTTACAACCCTTCACAACACTATCTTCTTGCTACCCTCTGGCTGTTTTCTCCACATAGAAAACAAAATCCTTCCTCCTCCTCACCTTTACAAAAATAATACCTAGTAAATGCCTCCCAGTTGTTTACCTTAACCATTTTCCCCTCCCAGTTGTCTGAACTTTCACTTACTCACAGGCACTCCAGTATGAGACACACATTATCTACGAGATCTCCTCCTAATTGCTATGAAAATAAGCGTGTGTCTTTGCCTTTCAGAAGCTACTGTGCGCAAGACACAGCACAGAGGTAAGTCATGTAACATGCAAACTATATGTCACTAGAAATTGTATGCCATTCTTCATTCCATCGCTAATCTATATTCAAGGTTCGAACGCTCAGGGTAGTCATAAATCTGCACTAGTTTTTCACCTTCTGAAAAAAAAAAAACAACCTTTGACCACCACACATTTTGACAGGAGCTCTGTTCGAACAAAAAAAAAAAAAATTGAAAGATCAATAAAAAATTGGCCAGAACAGCTCTCAAACTCATTTCCAATTTATCAAAGATTACAAGTGTTCCCAATTTTAGCAGTAACACATTGTGGCCTATTTAAACCTGTTACACAAGCGTTTAGATGTAGTCTGTTACGACCCTTTGCAAGGAAATACTGCTAATAATAAAGGGGGTAAATAAGACATTCACCTGACAGAAAAGTATCAGGTCACATTGTAAACTGTAAAACCAGTTTAATTAATACTTAAAGGTATTAAGTAATACCAGATTGTTCTTGTAAGACTATTAATCAATACACAGGCCAATGAACTTAGCAATGGACTTGCGTTAACAGAAGTCACAAGGACTTACGTTCTGTATTTCTGGAGATGTACTACGGATCCTCTCAAAAATATTAATTCTGTTTATATCTACACCACTTGCTAGAGTGAAAAGACATGCAAAACTTGAATTTTAGATATTCAGAAAATATTTTTATGGAGACAACACACCAAGCTTCCTTTTAAAATGTAAAAGAGGAGGGGAAGAAGCCATACAGACTAAGAAACTCAACAGCTAACCTACAACTAAGTTATGGAAGATGTACAATTCACTGTAAGTTGAGAGGAAACACACGTTGGGAGTCTTCAGCAACTCCAGAAACACCAGAGGCTTTCTCAAAGAAAAAAAAAAAGCACCCCAAAACAATCACAAAACTCAACCAAAAGGAAAAAAAAAAGAAAAGCTCCCCCCCAACACTACAGACCCTACACTTCTGATCGTTCCCAGCTACCAGGAGAATGAATAGCAATTACAGCTATAATGAAGAAGAAAGGAACCCACAGGAATGGAAGAGGTGGTGGAAAGAGCTTCCAAAATTAGAAACAACAGAATCCATTTTACATAGGCCTTTATTCCTCTGCTACCTAAAACAGGATTAACAAAACCACTCATTTGCTTTCAGACTTGTCATTTCTATAAATATATTATCAAGGTTTAGTTCTTCAACAAGCACCATCTTACCTGTTTGTTGGAGTGGTAAAGCTAAAAGACAGCAGCTGATTCCAGAACGGGTCATTCTCAGAGATGGGCTCTGCTCCTGATAATTTTTTTAAGTACTCATTTTCTGGAAGCTCGCTGATGCTGCTGCTATTTGCTCCCATCTTCTTTATTCAGCAAATTCCTTTCTAAATTTTCATTTCTTCAAGGCGGGGGGAAAAAAAAAAA